AAGAGGGAAATTCCTTTTAGTAATAGAAGTCATATCAGTTTCTCTTTGACTATTATTTAGTTCTAAAATTCTTGCATACATTTCACTTCTGTTGTATGCAATGGTGGATTGATCTATTATGAAACTAATGAAGCTTTAACTTCAGGGTTCTTTAATCCCGGAGGATCCCGAAGCAACTCTTTTTTAATGAGTGAATTTTTCAACAAAATCAGTAGGTTTTTTAAGTATTTGTTATTAAAATAAGATTAATTATTAAAAATTCCCATAGAAGAAGATAACAGAGATTACCCAGATTTCGTTGCTGATGGGAAGGGGCTCACTGTATGGTTCATTTTCAAGGACTTCACTGTATCACTATGTTCTCACCATTTGGGCCTCGAAGTTTTTGCAAGAATAGCAAGGCCTTTTGTATCTTGTGGATCTATATCCACAAGATACAAATTGTTACATTGTATATCTACAAGATACAAATTGTTACATTCGCAATCAGCAACAATAGGGCTATCCCTATTGTTGCTGATTGCGAATGTAACAATTTAAGCTTCAGGATTAAAAAAAATGTAGAATCGCCACTTGTAGTATGCCTTTAAATTAGATATAATTCCTTAATCGCGTGTAGAGTTGCAAAGCTCAGTTTAGCTATTCGGAAATACCAAGCTGAGCGGAGGTCTTAGAGCTGCGAGCTAAACTGTGAATTTGGATGAGAGTTGAGAGCCGAGCTGGATGTGTTGCAGCAAAGCTCATTTTTGAAATTAAATTGCATCTGTAATAATAATAGATACACAATACAAGATTCGTTTTGAAGTGGAGCGTGGTGTTTTCCGGGTTTTCTCCACGTCTGTAATGCCTGAATAGGAGCCAGTTACCCTTAAAAAGACCTCTCCCTCCTAGGTAGATCGCGCAAGTGTTGCGTTGCCGTAGCTTAACAAAACAAACAAACAAACCTCCAATTACAAAAAGTTCGGGATATAGACTGGAGCAAATATACGCTGCTGGACTCCAGCTGAGAGCCGGGCTGTCCTCAAAATTCTGAGCTGTATTTTTTTCCTCGCCAAGAGTGTGTGTGTTTGCAATGTTCTCTTGTTCTGACTGTTGTGTTTTTATTAGGCACGTTAAACAAATTTATTTAATTAAAGATCTTTATATCTCTTCGTTTAAATTATCTTTTATTATAAAAATTCATAATTAAGAATAACGGAAAGTGTGTCATCTAAAAACAGAGGCATTTCATCTTTCCAAACTTAATACATCTTGGCAATGTATAATCACAGTCCTTGCAATTTTAAAATAGAACCATCATTCGTCAAATGAGTTGTTTTTCTCTATTTTGTCATGTCATATGCAGCTGGCGAAATGTCATCCACCCGTCAGTTAACGACATATTTCTATATCTTAAATTTCCGATAAAATTTCCTGTCTTACAAATTAATAATATATTGTATAATCTGTGTTTTTTAAAAATATTATTCTGTAACGAATTCTGCTGCTTTTTACGATTGTTTTAAAATTCAATTTCTCTAATTTTTCAATAAAATTCTTTATTGAATAGTGAAGTACTTCAGATTTCTTTCAATGGATTCATTTTTAAAACAAATCTCAACTGAAAAAGGATCTAACAATGGAAAAAAGAGGAAAATACAATTAAAATACCATTGACAATTTACTCGAATTGTCCTATATTGATAATTTTCATTTATACGTATATATATAATAATAAGAAAAATTTGCTACATACAGTCGACCCCCTATAACACTGTTGATTATTCCGTTTTATATGAATTGCATATTGTACGAGTCACTTAGATTTTACAAATACGTATGCCGGGCTGTAAACGGCTCGCGTATCTGTAAAATCTAAATGACTCTTACAACATGGAATTCATATAAAACGGAATTATCAACAGTGTTATAGGGGCGGTTGACTGTATTAGGAATTCAAGCATTTAATATTAAAAAATATATTATTGTTTAGAAATTATAATATAATACAATACAGTAGTATTTTCACATATATACTGTAATGCAGTGGCGTAGCGCCATTGACGATATAGAAGATATAAAACTTCATTCTGAAAATATTGTAATACGTACTGATTATTTATCTGATATTCTTATTAATATTATGTATTCATATCCGCGGATTTGTAGTAAATTTAATCAAGATTATAACTTCGCTAT